TAAGCACATGCAAAGATGTTCAGCCTCATTGCTTATGAGAGAAATTCAAATCAAAACCACAATGAGATACCACTTCATGTCCCCTCAGATACTTAAAATTAAAAAGAAAAATAATAACAAGTGTTGGTAAGGATGTGGAAAAAATGGAACTTTCATGCATTGCTGGTGCAAATGTAAACTGATGTAGCTGCTTTGAAAAACAGTTTAACAGTTCCTCAAAAAAGTTAAACACACAGCAATTCCATTCCTACAGATGGACCCAAGGGAACTGAACATATATGTCCATGCAAAAACTTGTACACCTGAATGTGCATAACAGCCATATTCATAAAAGCCAAAAGTGAAGAGCATCTAAAAGTCCACCAACAGGTGCCTGGGAGGCTCAGTTGGTTAAGCGACTGCCTTCGGCTCAGGTCATGATCCTGGAGTCTCCGGATCGAGTCCGGCATCGGGCTCCCTGCTCAGCGGGGAGTCTGCTTCTCCCTCTGACCCTCTTCCCTCTCGTGCTCTCTATCTCTCATTCTCTCTCTCTCAAATAAATAAAATCTTTAAAAATAAATAAATAAATAAATAAAAGTCCACCAACTATAAAATGTAGCATATTCATGCAAAGGACTATTTATTATCCAATTGTAAAAAGGAATAAAGTAGTGATACATGTTACAACATGGATGAACCTTGAAAACATTATGCTAAGTGAAAGAAACCAGACAGAAAAGGCCACATATTGTATGATTTCATTTATATGAAATGTTCAGAATAGACAAATCCATAAAGAGGAAAAGTAGATTAATATGTGCTAGGAGCTGGAGATGATAGCAATGGGGAGTGATTACTAATGTGTAAGGTTTTTCATTTTGCAGTGATAAAAGTATTCTGGAATTAGGGGTAATGACCACATGATTTTATAAATATACTGAAACCAGTGAATTACTTTAAAAGGGTAAATTTTGTAATATGTAAATTAAATATTAACTTTAAGAAGATTTAATATGTTCTCAGATATAAAAATATATATATACACATTCACTACATAGTTATTCCTCTTCCTCTTGGCCCATTCCCAAATCCTGAAAAAACACTGATACCAGGTGTCACCACTTCTGTGTTACTTGGCCTACCTCCAGGTACTCCCAGTTGAAAAGCATGGGCCTTGGGTACCAGAAAGGGAATGGAGGAGACAGAGGTTCATGGGCCCATTTGGTGTCACACAAGAGGGAAACATTTTCTAATCCATTTTATCAGGAGGAAAAAAAAAAAGGATTTCACATGGTTGGAAAAGCCCTTAAAATTCTTTATCTTATTGCTCTCATTCTATAGTCATCAAACCACTTTCCCAAAGGTTCTAACATCAAGAAGGGAGCATATCCCATCAGTAGAGAGGAATCACCTCCACTGAAAATCATACCTAATCTATCTACCTACCTACCTACCTTTGGGCTCATTTATTTAACCTCCAGTAACCTGATGAATCTGAATCACTTGTCTTGCATCAGACTCTGGGATACTGAATAAAAACTAAGAGCCAGACTCTGGATGAAGGTAAATTCACCTCAATCAAGAAGGACAAGTAGATTTTAGTCCCGATGCTAATTTTAACATATTTACAGTTGGGAAAGACTCCACAATGAGCAAGATCATGAGGACATGTCTGAGTAGTTTGACAGACGATCAGGCTTGATACGGAGTGTCCGCCTTGAACACAGGCAGGAAAGTCATGCTAACTGTACCACATGGCTCGCACTCTGAGATATGGTGTTCCCTCAGAGGCCTCTAGCCAGAAAACCTCCTGGCCACATCCCTCTAACCTTGAAGTACTGTGTCTACATTTCATAAAGAGAGCTTTCTGCTTTCAGTACTATAGAACTTAATTTAAAACACAGAAAATCGGGATGCCTGGGTGGCTCAGTCAGTTAAGCGTCTGCCTTCGGCTCAGGTCATGGGATCGAGCCCCACATTGGGCTCCCTGCTCAGCGGGCAGGCTGCTTCTCCTTCTGCCTGCCACTCCCCCTGCTTGTGCTCTCTCTCTCTCTCTCTGATTTCAAAATAAATAAATAAATAAGATTCTTAAGACAAAAAATTGAATGCTCCATTGCAAGGACAGCAACCTATCCCTTCCATTATTCCATCAATGAAAAAGTAAATGGCTTATTAGAAAATGCTTCTTTAAGTTTCTGTTTTCCAGGGTAAGTCAAGCACCCCATACATTAGAAAACTTAGGAACAATTCTCCATGTTAAAATTATTTTTGTAATCAAGTCCCACCCCCTTGCTAATTTCACCTCCCAAAGCTGTGGTGACTAATGTCTCATGCTTGAAATCGTTACTATTCCCTATCTACACAGAGGATTTGTGAGGGATGGCGGGAAAGGGGGGACGGGGGGTGAAGAAGGTAGAATGGATTTAAATGTTCACTCAGCATTCTTGAATCAGAGATGGAAGATGCCAGATGGGGCCTCATCATGAGGCTAAGGCTTCTACTAGCCAAAACATGTACTTAATGCCTTCTTTATTCTAATCATGATTTTAGGGCTGACTTTAGTAGAGCAGTTCTGGACTTATTTCAGGTTTCTGAATGCATTTGTTTAATAAATCAGTAGCTTAACACAGCATGCTGTTTCTAGGCAGGTTTGTTCCAGTGAAACACAGGAGGAGAGAGTCCATGTGTTTGGTCAGGTCACCCAGGCCAACAACCCTTTGCAAAGCACATTGGTCTCCTCCCTTTCACAAAGGCCTCCAAACTGCAGATCGAATCAAAGATCAAAGCTACTGAGAAACTGTATCCTTGCCCTCTCACCCACTATTCCCACAGCTAAGGAAAACCAAAAAGGTTTCATGTAAATTTTCACAAGTGGAAGCACTCAGACATACCCAAAACATCAACTCTTCTGTTATTTAGTGTTCTATTAAAATCCGTAGTCTTCTCTTGCATTTAGCTTTTAGTGCTACCTCAGCTGAAGAGAGTATTTAATAAGACAGGGATATTTTCCTAAACAAGAAAGACTAGGTCAAAATTAAAAGAGAAACACATATACCCAAAAATGTTAGTGGGGAATGTTCATACTCCTTTGAAATGTGGGAGGTAATTTATGCCATAAGAATGTATTACTGGGGTGCCTGGGTGGCTCAGTTGTTTAAGTGCCCAATTCTTGATTTCGGCTCAGGTCTTGATCTCAGGGTCATGAGATCAAGTCCCGCATTGGGCTCTATGTTGCATGTGGGTTGTGGGATCAGGTCCCGTGTGGGGCTCTGAGCTCAGCATGGAATCTGCTTGGGGTTCCCTCCCTCCCCCTCTGCCTTTTCCCCAACTCCCTCTCCCTTTCTCTCTCTCTAAAATAAATAAATAAAATCTTTAAAAAAAGAATACATTGATATAATCAGAACAATAAATATAGCTACTTAGTAAAAATAAATAAATAATTAACAAAAGGATAGAATTAGCCCTAAAATAAGAAAATCAAGTGCTTTCTTTGGCTAATCAGAACAAAGCATAGGATTCAGTGGTTTTTATCAGAACCAACTGGTTCATCAACTTGAGTTGAATCCAACCAGTCCCTTCCCTCTGGCATTTCCGGGTGAGCTTACTACCTCAGAGGAAGCAGGAGACAGAGTTACAGAGAAGCAGGGACAAGACAGGAGGAAACAATCGAGCCTTGCAAGTGCATGAGCTCTCACGTTATTTTATTTCAAACCTTTCTAACAGGAGAGGAGAACGATGTGGTGAAAGAGGTAAGTCACTTCTAGTTTAGTCTCAATACAGGAAGTAGTTTTTAATACCTCTGCCCTCAAACTGGAATTATAGCCAGTTTCAATTTGTCTTCCTCCTGACCCATCTACCTTTGGTCAAAGTGCTAATAAAAATAAAATGGTCCAGGCATGAGGCATGGGGGAGACATGAGAGGTCAACTTAATGCTGATAGTTGACCTTATCTTGCAAACGTTAAACATCCTTCGGTAACTGTAACCCAACAAGTAACCAGACATCCACATACATTTCCTTGTGAGGATGTACAGCTCAGAGAAGATAAAGGTCTCATTCAAAGTTGTCTATTAACAGGTCAGCGTTTCTAATCAAAAGATCTCCACCATGTGGCCATCACCTCAACACTCCTCACAATCCCTGATAATACACAAGAAAACAGCGAGTGCCTTCAGGCCCTGGGATGCCAGTTCAAAACGGACATTAGTCAGCCTCTTCCAGAACACGGGTTCAGTTAGCTAGCTTATATTTGCTTTAACTCTCATAATATTTCCTTAATGCTCCATAATTCTGAGAGCTGATGGTTTTCTAATGTAAATGAGGGGGTGTGCCAGGCTGGCTGCAGTTGGGGTGGCCTGGCTAGGGTGGGTTTGTTCCGTGTGACTTTCACTCTCTTCCAGGGGCCAGCAGGTTAGTCTGGGAAGGCTGTCCGCACGGTGAAGGCAGAACACAAGGTCAGAGACACAATTCCCTGTAGGGCTCAGGCTCTACTCGTGAACTATCACTTGTGTCTCATTTGATTGGTCAAAGCAGGTCATAGAGCTGAGACACACAGCAAAGGTTGGGAAAGCACCTCTGCCTCCAAAGAGACATGGTAAGAGTGTGGATGCAGGGAAGGGCCACGATCTCAGTCTCCCACAGCCCCCGACGAATTATTTACATGGGGATGTTTCCACAGGAAATCCCAGGGCCTCATATGATATTAAGCATAACAAGAAGGAGGTGTTAACACATGTTTGAAATATACAGAAAATCGCATATATTAATATAACCAATAGCCTTGTATCTACCTCTGATAATTAACAAATTAATACTTTTACCTATTTGCTTCTCATATTTTTTACAAAATATTTTAGAGTTTAAGCACGCTGTATACCCCTCCATAATTCTATTCCCCTCCCTCTTCAGGGGTGCCTATTATACTAAAGTTAATCTGTGCATATTTTTATACTTTTCCTATGTACACAGCCATTCATGAAGCCAGCCAGAGCCCAGAAGACAGTCACCTAGCCTTATCATTTTCTGTTAATATTTAGTCAGCATTTCCAATAAAATTACCTTCTTCAGATCAAACACTTTTACATAGGCCCTACATGTGAACCAAATAGCTACCCAGGGAATATTCAACTTTGACTTGCTTCATTCTTGTATTTTTTGTGTGTACCTCACACTAAATTAATGAGAGATGCAACATTCTGAGGCTAAATAATTCAACTGGCTATTCTTTAAAGAGCGTGGGGGCAATTCACATTACCAGAGGAAGAAACATCATAAGGAAAGCAAAAGCCAAATGTTTTCCACAGGAGTCCTCGTTTTTGCTGTCTTGATTTCAACTGGTAAGTCAAAAAACAATTTTAGAATCTTGGCTAATTTAAAAAAATTTTTAATAAAAGATTTAGAAGTCATTAATATCACAATCACAACAGAAACTCATGTAGTTGATGACTGAAAATGGACTAGGAAGAATACGTGGTTGGGGATAGGGGGCCCTCCAAGATTTCCACCTGAATATTGTGATTCTTTAACAAGGGAAACAGAAAAGTGGAATGGAGGACTTAAAAGAAAAGTCTGTCAATCTTGGTCTAGGATTTAACTGGAACATCATTAGAAAATAAAGAGTCTGTGTAAGAATTCAATTTGGAGGATTCCTGATAACAGCAACTGGTGTGGATTAGGACAAGGGGAACGCTCCCTTTAAGAGTCAGGAGAGAAAAATGAGTCAGTTAATAAATTGTCTAATATCTGCCTCAATTCCCAGGGATAAATATTTGTTGCCAAAGTGATGGTATTATATCTCGATCAAGATGTTGACTTGAAGCTTGGCTCAAAGGTATAAGACATTTGAAACCCATCTTTTAAAAAGTGTATTAAAGAATATACTTTAATGGCCATATTCTGTAGCTCCTCTCATAGCATGTATATTAATGAATAGTAAAGTATCTTTAAATAAAATCAACAGTCAAATTAGCTGGTTCTTGCTTTTGCTTCTATTTTGTTAGTTTATTTCAAAATAAAAGGATGAGTTTGCTAACTGCATCTCTCTGTGAATGTTAACACTGGAAATCCAGGAAATTTAATTCAATTGAGTATTTATCTACTGCTTACTAAAGAGAAGCTCTACCTAAAACAAGTGTGTACAAAATACACTGAGACAGCCAGCCCCTCCTCCATGCTTTACTGCTATACAATTTTTCATATAACTATTTCTGGTAATATTTCTACTCCCTTCTTTCCCTTGTGTTTTCCCTCCACTCTAGGCTAAATTGCTCTGACAGGTTCTTATTTCTAAGAATCTCCCTCTTCCATGTTTGCAGATATGAAAGAGATTTATTTAGTGCTAAATAAACTTTGCTAGTTCAGAGTCTGTTTCTTCTCTAATTCAAACATTTTCTTGGATTTGATTATTAGGACTGGCAATAAAAGAACATTTCAAAGTTACTTTAGAATTTCTAGAATTATTTCTTTGAGCCATGCTGTTCATTTTTGCTTCACCTAAACATAATGGTCCCAAGTAATAAGCAAAGAAAATTTGAAAAGCACAATCTATGCCACTCATGAGTCAATAATCTGAAACAAACTGTAATGATGGAGATTAATGCTTATAAATACAGTTATAAATACTCTGTACGTAATAAAACAGAATTTTATGGCCAGGGAAAAAGCTAATTTTCCATCTGAATCCAGAGTTAAAAGGCAGACCTGCCCAGAACCTACAGAAAGAGAAAAACTAGTGAAAACAGAACTTTTGAATCCACTGGGAGACATGTAAGATAAACAGACTGGAAATATGTGAAGTCAGAAAATCTGCTTCTCATGTTTCTCTTTCTTAGCACTGGCTGGACCATGGGCTAGTATCTGCGCTGGCAAGTCTTCCAATGAGATCAGGACGTGTGACAGTCACGGCTGTGGCCAGTACACTGCTCAAAGGTATTCTTTTTTTTTTTTTTTTAAGATTTTATTTATTTATTTGATAGAGAGGATGAGAGAGCGAGAGAGTATGGGGGGGTAGGGTCAGAGGGAGAAGCAGACTCTCCGCTGAGCAGGGAGCCCGATGCGGGACTCGATCCCGGGACTCCAGGATCATGACCTGAGCTGAAGGCAGTCGCTTAAACGACTGAGCCACCCAGGCACGCTGCTCAAAGGTATTCTTAATGGTTCTTAACCTCTCTGCTTAGTGTCCTTGCCTCAAGCGCTCACAGTCATCTCTCTCTGACAGCAGGATTCAGAGATGAAAGCAGCTGTACTAGTATCTTTAGAGTAGCTTCCAAGACCTCTGCTTCAAGTATGGGCTCTGAATTGGGAACACAGCATGTAATAAAGAAAGAGGGAGGGGAACAAACATATAACAATCGTCATCAATCTGACTTTTCAGGTACTAGCCTGTTCGGCTGGAGAAGAGGTTGGTAAGAGTGAGCATAAACACAACAGTGAGGCTTGTCAGAGACAACTTAAAGAACGCTCACAAGCTGGGATCATTTCATGTTTGTGCTACATTCACTCTAATAAATTCAGGAGTTATCACTCACTGTATTAAAATATCATATACAGTAAATGTTTTAAAACGATTTACTTGAGAGAGAGAGAGGGGGAGAGAGCATGCACACAGCGGGGAGGGGCAGAGGGAGGGAGAGAGAGAGAGAGAGAATCCCAAGCAGACTCCACACTGAGAGGAGAGCCCAACTCGGGGCTCCATCCCAGGACCCCGAGATCATGACCTGAGCCGAAACCAACAGTTGGACGCTTCACTGCTGGAGCCACCCAGATGCCCAACAGTAAATGATGTTTATAATGACTTCTGGATTACTGAGACAAAAATCAGATGAGGGTAATATGATTCTTTTGTGATAGGTCCCCATAAAAAGACAACTCTTTTGTAAGTGGCCTTGAAGGGGTTAAGATTCATATATCTATAAAATTTACTTACATAGATAGCTGTCTCATTTCCCCCAAAATGCCATATAATAATCAAAGTTCATAAATTCTTAAAGGCTCTCTAAATACCAAATACTATCTTAAATGCTTTAATCTTTACAATATGATTATTACTACCTGCAGGTAGGGAGGTTAAAATTGAGATAAAGAAGAGTAAGGAAACCTGGGACATCCCAACATGTTCTCCAGTTTCAGGGTTTGATATCCTAGTCTGGGAACAGTGAGCGAACGCCACATTTCTGGGCAATAAAGTTCCCAGGGCATTTTCTCAGTCTGTTCATTCTTATTTACATTCTAGAAATCACAAGTCTCACCCAGGTGTGGATGTCTTGTGCTCTGATGGATCTACCGTGTATGCACCTTTCACTGGAATGATTGTGGGCCAGGAGAAGCCTTATAAAAGCAAAAATGCCATTAATAATGGTGTTCGGATATCTGGAAGAGGTAAGAGGTGTTGTATACACCTGGAACACATCCTGGAAATGTTTGATGGTTATTTATTTAATGCATCTGCCATACACCAAAGTTTCATACTTCCTTCAAAATGATGACATCTACAATAGAAAGGACATAGGGCACCAAACGAAAACAGCTCTTCCCCTGATATCTTCTTTATGCACACACTCTACCTAACCCCACAGCTGACTGAAGGACTTTCTTCTTGTGGCCCATGTGGTTTTGTCCAACAGTCTACAAACAAAATCACTTTCAAGAGTATTCACTTTAATAAGTAGATACTTTCATTTACCAAAATCCCACACTTCAAAGATGTTAGCATTCCTGCCAAAGTTGACTGGGAAATATTTTCCAAGGCCTCTTTGTTCTAGGTAAAGTTGGGTCACCTAGTACTCCAGGTATGGGCCTATTCTTTATGTTTTGTTTTGTTTTTTTTAATCCACTGAGGTATAACATTCACACAGAAGAGTGCACAAAGCATAAGCACACAGCTCCTAAACTTTCACAAAGTAACACTGTATAACCATCACCCAAACAAGAAAAAAAAATTCAGCAGCATCCCAGAGACCCCCCTGGGCTATCTATACTCATTCTTCCCAGCAAGGATAATCACTATGCCACCATACGCTAGCTTTGCCTGTCTTGGGAAATGATATAAACAGAATTAAACAGTATGCAGTCTTCTTTGTGGGGCTTCTTTCATTCCACATCATGTCTGCAAGATTTGCTTTGCATGTGATTTCATTCTCAATGATGTAGGCTGTTCCATTACATGCATACATCTTCATCTATGTAATTATCCTTCTCTAAATGGACATTTCGGTAGCATCCAGTTTTAGGCGACTATGAAAATGCTATGAACTTTCCTGCACGCATCTTGTAATGAACATAAATATGCATTCCTGTTGGGAGTGAGCCCTGAAGACACTGCCCTCACCCCAGCCCTGAGAAAGAAACACTCTGTGAGGGACCTCAGGTTCTTGAGAAGCTGTCCTCTATATGCCCAAAATGACAAGAGAAACTGCTGCCACCGGAAAGGGTCCACTTAGTAGGCAAGGCCAAGTTTGGCATGGTTACCCAACAGGCAACAGAGCTGAAGCAGTAATCAGATTCATCTGAAGCACAGAGATCTGTGGCATTGTCTAGCTAATCACGGTGACCCAAGAGCTGAACACATGGGCAGCCTACTAAAGCCTTATTTGATTTGTACAAATGGGAACACTTTGATGAACAAAACTGTGACTTTACTCATCACAAGAGTGGGTCACAAAACCTCCCCCCACCCTCACCAACTCCCAGACTTGACCCAGTTCACAATCCCAGAGCCCCTTGAAAGAAACCGGGGCTGAGTCTCTTTGAGGAAGGGCTCTGTGACACGGCTGAAAATTTATACCAATAAACCTTACTTCTAGCTATCCTCAAAGGGACCTGCAGTTATTTAGCAGGATGGCTGTACATTGGGGAAGAAGAAATAATTGGGCTTCTTAGAGATTACTGGGCACTCACTCAAAGATGACACTAATCCTGGACGTCCAAAAGGCCACTGTGGTCAACGAGTCAGACTGGAGGCTTCCAGGGTCAGGTGATCAATGTAGTTTTTCATCAGGGTCCATCTGACAGTGGTCCCAGGGTGTCCACAAATCCACTCTGTGGCCATTTCCCCAGTTCCAGAATGCATAATTGGCATCAACACAGTGAGGGCAGAATGCTGTAGGAGTGGGCGTGCTGGGTCACTTGGGTTATGTTCACCTTCTGCGTTAGCAGCCACTGCCAGTTTCCTAGAGTAGTTCTTCCATTTTATACACCAACCAGGAGTGGATAAAAGTTCCAGTTGCTCCATATACAATACTTGGCACTATCTACCTTTTTCATTTCATCCATTCTGATAAGTATGTGGTGGTATCATTGGCTTTAATGTGCATTTCCCTGATGGCTAGTGCAACTAAGCACCTTTTCATATTTATTGATAACATGGATATTATCTTTTGCGAGGTGCCTATTCAAGTATTTTGCGCCTTTTTCTTATTGGTATGTAGGAGTTTTTGGTGTATTGTAGATATGAGTCCTCTGTCAGATCTGTGTGTTGTAAATATCTTCTCCCACTTCATGAGTTACCTTTCACTTTCACTTTTTTTAAGATTGTATTTATTTGATAGAGAGAGAGAGAGGGATCACAAGTAGGCAGAGAAACAGGCAGAGGGAGAGGGAGAAGCAGGTTCCCTGCTGAGCAAGGAACCCGATGTGGGGCTCCATCTAAGGACCCTGAGATCATGACCTGAGTCGAAGGCAGATGCTTAACCGACTGAGCCACCCAGGTGCCTCTACATTTCACTTTCTTTATGCTGTCTTTTAATAAACAAAATTCTTATTTTTCATGCAGTCCAATTTAGTATTTTCTTTTATTGTTAGCACACTTTTTACCCGTTTAAGACCCATTTGTCATCCTAAAGTCATAAAAATACTGTTTTCATCTGTAAACTTTGTTTCATCTTTCCTATTTAAATGTACAATCCATTTGGGATTGGGTTTTATGTAAGGTATATGGTAGGGATCAAGATCTTTTTTTCTCATATTGGTATCTGACTCAGTACCATTAACTTGACAAGACTGTTTTCTCCTCTACTGTTATTGCAGTATAGTATTTTTTGTCATAAATGATGGTCTGAATATACACAGGTCTTTTTCTGGTCTTTCTATTGTGTTTCATTGGTCACTGTGTCAATCTTGCACAAATACCACACTGTCTTCATTATTGTAGCTTTAAAATACATCTTGATATCTGATAGTATAAATCTTTCAACTTTTGTCCTTCTTTCAGATTGCCTTGACAATTCTTGGTCACTGGCATTTCCAGATACACTATAGAATCAGTTTATCAATTCCCACCGAAAATTCTGCTGGGACTTTGACAGGGTTTGCACTGATTATATAGATCAAGAAAAATTGGTATCTTAAAAGTAGTGAATCTTCCAATGAAAAGACATGTTATATCCTCCATTTATTTAGGTCTTCCTGCACTGTAATATTAGTTGTCATATTGGTTTCCAGTGTTGAGGCTGTGTACATATTCTGTTTCACATGTACCTAAGACATACTGTATTGATTTTGTTTAGATTTTCTATAGCAGTATTGTCCAATAGAATAAAAGTCATGTATATAATTCAAAATTTTCTAGTAGTTGCATTAAGAAAGTTAAAAAACAGAGGAAATAATTTTAATAATATATTTTAACTCTATCTTTAAAATATTATCATTTCAAAATGCAACAAAAAAATTACTAATATTTTACTTTTTTTGTGCTGTCTCCAAAATCCATCAGGCATCTTATACTTAAAAGTACATCTGTGATTAGCTACACTTCAAGTGCAGACCAGCCACGTGTAGCTAGTGGCTACCATGGTGGACAGCACAACTCTAAGGCGTTTCTTATGTTTTCTGTTCACTTGCCTGTTTTCACTGATATGTGTGTTAAAATCTATTACTGGTGTGTTTCTATTTCTCCCTGTATCTCAGATAGTCTCTGCTTTCTATACATGGTTTCTGTGTTATCTGGCATATGGACAGTTGCAACTGCTGTATCTTCATTGTATTTCGCAGTATAAATTGTCCTCCTTTGTCTTGTTTCTGTGATTTTCGGCTTGAGTTATACTCTCTGATAATAGAATCATAACCCTTGCTTGTCTTATTATTTCCATCTGCTTGACAAATCTTGATCCAGCCCTTAATTCTTTGCCTTTTTCTTTTATTTAAAGATTCTATTTATTTATTTGAGGAGTAACAAAGAGACAGAGGGAGCACAAGCAGGGGGAGGGGCAGAGGGAGAGGGAGAAGCAGACTCCCTGCTGAGCAGGGACCCCCCCCAATGTGGGGCTCAATCCCAGGACTCCGAGATCATGACCTGAGCTGAAATCAGACACTTAATGCACTGAGCCACCCAGGTGCCCCTTGCATTGTGTTTTATTGGATACAGCATAGAATTGGGTTTTGGTTTTCAAGCCAGTAGGAATTTTTTAACAGATGAGTTAACATTTATAGATATACCTCATGTATGTGGTCCCAACATTGTGATATTACATTATAATTACAGTATTAACTCTACTTCTCCATTTGGTAGGTCTTTGTTTTTAAATTTTTTTTCTTTCAATGTTTAGAAAGATTTGCATTCTTGTGCCAATTATGTCCATTTTTCTTTGTCTTTCAAGTCTAATCACTTTATTAGAATAGGTCTTGGAGTTGAAATTATCCTGGGTGAGAACAAGAAAATATGTTAAAAGTCTCAATTTTCTCAGCAACCTAGTGTTTTTCTGCTATTCCTCAATGTCTTCATTAAATCCTCATTTGAATCTATTCTGCCTTGGGCATCTAGTCTTCATTTCTGATAGAATTTTGTCACCTTCCTCTGTTCCCTCACTGAGTTCAATCAAGTCTCATTTCTTTTTGTCTTCTCTTTTTTGTTCTTATTTTTTGAATTTCTGATTCAAGGCTACTGAAACCCAGATAATAACTAATTTAACTTCTTTTCTTTTAGGTTTCTGTATTAAAATGTTCTACATTAAGCCAGTTAAATATAAAGGTTCTATCAAGAAGGGAGAAAAACTGGGAACTCTACTGCCCTTGCAGAAAGTCTACCCTGGCATACAATCCCACATACATATTGAAAACTGTGACTTGAGTGATCCTACCATGTACCTCTAAGTAGAAGACACATGACCAGATCTACTAAATATAAAACCATCTCCTTAAAAACCTGAATGCATCCCCTACTCTTCAAGAAATTTGTGTCCAAATAACATGATGCATGCAACAAAGAAAACAGCCTGTTTCAATTCATTGCCACTTGAATGTTTGATTGTCAACTAATTTCTGAGAGTTCGCTGATTTTTCTGTCACCTGTGGGATCTGAGGGGTTTTTACCTGTTTGTTTTTTAAAGTTTCTCAGTCCTGAACACACAGAATAAATAAACATACAAATTCCAGTCTCTCCAGACTGCATTTCTGACACTTCTAAGACTAGCTACCTTTTCTGCCCAAAAATAAGAAAAAGCCTGAAGCTGTTTTCCTGGCACAAGAATAGAGTGTTGCAAAATGCCAGACACACACACATACTTCATAAATATTAAGTGAACAAACTGGAGTTAAACTCTAAGGTAGGGAAGCGTTTCAGCAATATCCTCAGGTTTGTCAAAGTGGTCAAAGGGTAAGCTGTTTGCATGGATAAGATGGAATTGGCTGGTCTTCATATCCACACTTCCCCACACTATATGAGCAGAACACTTTCTAAATCATAAATTATGGCAGTCCAAGAAAATACATCAGTATTCTCGATTTCAGTAAGACTGCATTACGGGAGGTACTAGGATGAGAAAAAGGTCTATTTTAACCTGAAGTTAGCTCATGAAACCAAGTACCTCATGGAAACTCAGCTTCATCTAGCCAAATGCCTACCACAGCCACTTATGTCTACACATCATTTTTAACCTAGATTATTCTTTCTTAGTTATGTTGACAACAGGTAGGAAGGGGAAATAAGACCATACGAATGCTCCAAGGACCAGAAATAACTGGCTCCCTAGATTTTAGTTAGTGAGAAATGAGTAAGTTGAATTTATCATTCTGGAAACTTTTCATGAATTTTTTGCTTAAATCCTTTTGGAATGCAGAAAACTCCAGCAGAAAGATTCCATTCTTAGTACAGATGTGCTAGAGGAAAATATAATTAATTATATTATTGGAGCTTTATTATCGGAGAGTAGCTGCATTTGTATGCTAGGACATATGTATAAGAATGTCCATGATATCACTATTTGTCATGGCAAACCCTGGAACAACTCAAATGCTTATCTACAATTGATATGAACAAATGAACTGTGATTTAGTCACAGAATGAAATAGTGTACAGTGGTCACAATAAATGAGCCTCAGCTAAACGTAACAAAATGGATGAGTCATAGCAATATCATTCTGAGTTTAAAAAAAAGGCCTAAGATTATATATAGTAGGATACTCTTTTTATAAAGTCAAAACAATTAAAACCAAAACGTAATTTTTAGGAACACATATATATGTGATAAAAGTATATGAAAAGGAAGTCAAGCAAATGATGAACACCAGTTACCTCAGGACTAAGTAAGGGAAGCCACGCAGAAAAATTAAAGTTATTGTCATGTCAATGTTGCCATTTTACAGCTGGGAGGTGATTTCATGAGTATTTATTATGATAACATGTTATAGTAAGTAACAAGACTTGCCGGTGGGTGTCAGAAAGAAGAAAGAGTTAATGATGACTCTCACTTCAGTCTCTACAACACAACTGGTATATTCTCATATCTAATTACATATTATTCTCTACCATATCATAACATCTCATGTAAAGCTAACAAATTAAGAATTTAATTTTTAGTTTTTTTAAGAAAAAAACTATAACCAACACTGTCTGGTTTGACCATCTACCTTATTAATCTCCGTAGTGCCAAATCACTTTAGGTTGTTTCCAGAAATTAAATTTGCTTTCAAAGGACAAAGGCTGTGTTCCCATTCAGAACACAAAATAGGAATTAGCACAGAGACAATTTTTAAAGGAGCTCTAAAATGTCTGAACAATAAATAATTAACCTTCTTAAGTGATTGTTTTAAAAACCAGACTTGTTACCTGGAACGGAGAGCTTCCGCAAAGTAAAACAAGAACGGTGCCTTTGGCCTAGCACTCAATTAAGCACTCTCATACCTGTTCAATGGAAATGCAAACTTCAGTCTAAAGGACTGTTCTCTCAGGAAGAACCAGAATACGGCGCCCTCTGGTGTGCTTCATCAGAGGGTTTTTTTGGTCTTTTGTTGTTTTTTTTTTTAATTTCCTTTTCTTTTTAGATCTGGGTGTCAAAATGTTCAGTTTAAAGTATTGTTAAGGTTCAAATGACAGAGAAGTGATGGTACTGAATAACATATTTTTCCTTAGTGAAAATGACCGTAAAATATACTTTGAAAACTGTGACCCAGATACTAGGTTTGATGACTACAAATTAATAATGCAAACACAATTAATTTTTACTTATAAAATGTTTGGAGTTTTCTGCAGAAAAGTAATTTAATGGAAGAACAAGGTAAGTGGCCATTTTAATCTAGAATCCTCTAATCTTAAGTAAACAGTACTTTTCATAGACTTCCAAAGTAAATGGAGACATTTTCATTATATAAAGCATAAAAATACTCTCTACTTTCTTGTCTTGATTCGGCTATCCTAAAAATGTTTGCTATTGAATTTATAAACCCAGTATGTTAGGCCAACCAGGATCATGAAAATGAGCTGATCAATTCTACTGAGTTTTCCTTTAAGAGCTCTTATAGTGCTTAGTTTGCTAGGTCCGACTACTAAAAACCACTACTAAAGACCATCGTTTAGAGTGGCAACTTCTCATCAATGTACAAGAGGCCACGGGTACTCATTATTGTTCTGTGCTAGCAGGCAACAGGGAGAAACTCCACCTTGATCTCCCTTCGTCAGTCCCTCTCTGTTTTACTCTTTAGTGAAACCAACACTGGCATCCTACCACCCACTATTCAGGTGTATATACTCCCACCCTACTCCTCCACTGCACATCAGGTTAGCCAGTGAGACCAGAGTTCACCTCTCCAGTATTTCCACCATTGCTCTGATCTCCAACCAGCCTGACCCTCCAACTCAGGTTTGCCATTTCCTTTTATGTCTGTCCTGTTATCCTAACCAGACCTTGAATGCCCTACAATATGTTGCTTCTGTACTCTCCCGAAATCTTAAGGTACAAATCACATGATCTGCAATAGTAACAACTGTCTTTAAGAATCTGATTCTTTAAACAGTATTTCAGCTCCACTCACATTTATTGAGGGTATATGAATGTGCCACACAGCAATCTGAGAGTCTCAAACACAAAGGTGAAGGAGGGAAGATGCCCATTCTTACAGAGCTCACCCTGAGAAAGGATGTGGTACAGTGTGGAGAATGGTTGCACAAGTAACTCTCTAAAAAAAAAAAGAGACATAAAATATGCTCTATTTAAAAATTACCACTTACAAACCACAAGGTATGCTAATTCTAATTTAACAAGAATATTTAAATTTTTTTCCTAATTAAAAAATGTTTAAAGCTGGAAAATAAATTTTTTTTTAAGTTTAATTGCTTTCTTAGAAAGAAAATGAAGATGTTGGAGACAGACATAAGGGAACAACTCTGGAAATGAAAGTGCCTAAGTAAAATTTACTGAGTGTCTACTATTTGCTAAATATTATGCTAGATGCTGGGGATACAACAGTGAGCAAAACCTGACAGTCATCTTGCACTGATAAAGCTCACAGTGCAGTAGAATTAGCAGAGAATAATCATACAAGGAAATGGCAAATTACAATGGTGGTAAGTGCCACAAATGGAAGTCACAGAGTGCTGAGAGTCAGAGGCTCTCCTGAGGAAATGACATCTAAAGGAAAGATCTGAGGGAGCAAAGAGAGTGACATAACTAGAAAGAGACTATATCCTCATGCACTCTGACTACAGGGCCCATGGCAGTCTTAAGGACCTTCAAGAGAATGGAGCAGAAAAGCAAGGGGAAGCTCCGTGAGCAATGAGGGCAAAGAAGCAGGGAGATGCCAGACCATATAGGATCTTGTAGATCATTTTAAGGATATATCTTTACCCTAACGGCAATCCATAACCACTAAAGAGTTTTAGCTGGGTTACTAATTAAATTATAAGATCCCTTCTGCAAAGGATCTCTAGCATGCTTCCAGACAGAGTAGTAGGTCAGTACATGCAGATTCTCTCCCAAAAACACTCCGCAAAATGTACGTTTTTCACTTAATCTTAGCCAAAAGGCCGAGAACCAATCTCAGTAGCATATTTAACCAACTAATAATCACGGTATATTTACAAAATGATCAGTATTAATTTTAATCTCATGCCCATCTTCTCCTGAGTTAATGTAATAAAGTAGAATTCAAAGTGTGTTAGAAATTAGAAATTGTTTGAGTTATAATATGATCTTACATAGTGCTAAAAATTAAGTACAATTAAGTCAGCCTGTGTCTATATTTTTATTTTACTCTTAGATTTTAATACCACATATCTTGTAAAATATATTCATACCAAGATGAAAGAGAAGCAATTAAAGCAGTATAAAGTTATATATGTCATAATTTAGGGATCCAAAGCTCAATATCATAAATTTATTTAGCAAGGTAAAATATGCCTTCAACGAAGGCTGAGGAACTCATCTACAAACCCCGTGTAGTTTTTAGCCTACCACCTACCTAATCCACAATACAGGGTCTATGTCCTATTTATGGAAATTTCTGGCTAAACATTTCTCATAATTTTTCACGTTTCTGCTGCAATCCATTAAGACAGTTTGCAAATGATAAGATATTTTACCTAAAATAGTTGGCAATGTATCTTAAAATTTATATTTGCATAGAAAGGAAGAAGCTAAAAATGGTTTAAAAAAAAAATTAAGAATCTTTGGTAGCCAATTACCAGACAGGTAGGACATCAGGGAACCATATTCTTCCCAGGTGTTTGGAGACTTCAGCGTGAACTTAATCTAGGCTATACTCATCATCAGGGATCAAAACGTCTTCCATTACAGAGAGCTGGGTTAGTCTTTTCCCACACAGTCTTACAAATTCGACGAATGCACTGCAGTTAACTTCACATTCACTGAGGCCCAAGGCTGTTAAGTTTTTACAGTGTTCAGCAATACAAGTAAGTTCAGTATCAAGAGTCTGAAGACCATGAGCACATACCACTAACTCAATTAGTTGTGGACAGTTAAGACCTATTCATC